TTTGTGTGGAAGATTTTATTTTCGGCAATTTTAATTTTTGAGCTGCCTTTTTAGAAATTAAAGTGCTTTGTGACCCATTGTCAATCAAAGCTCTGAATTTTTTAAATTCACCATCTTGACCTTTTATTTGGACATAAGCGGTGGCCAACAACACTTGTTCAGAGGTCATGCACGTATTCACTATTGCCTTGTTTATGTGAATCATGCTATGGTGATTATTTTGACAATACGAGCACACTAGCTCGCTTGTACATTTGATGTTTGAACTGTGCTTTAAACATAGGTAGCACCAGTTCCATTTTTTAACAACGTCCCTTCTTTCCTGTGGACTTAAAGCTTTAAATTTGTAACAATAAACTAATTGATGCCCGGGCATTTGGCACATCGGGCATGTTTGGTCACTTGTGTAAATATTTTTTATTATTTTTTTTGTTGGGAACTCATTTCCCACTGATGTCATCCTTTAAATTTTGAATTTCACTTGATTTTTTAACTTGGCCCTCATACTGTTTTAGAGCCTCAATATTTAATTTTTTTAAAATAATATGCGCAAAAATGCAATCTGATTCTTCTGTCAGATTTGCTTTTAGGCGCATTATATAAACTTATTCATTGATTGAATCAATTGTATTTTTAAGGTGCCTAATGAGTCCAAATTTATTTTTGGAAGCTCAATGAGGCGATTAAGCTGATCTGAGAATATTTTCCTATTATTCTCATATCGCTTGATGAGTCGTTCCCAGGCAGCATTGTAATTATTGCCTGAGCCCAGCAATAAATGGGAAACCACATTCCGTGCTTCCCCTTTTAGAGCACTTTTAAGGTAGCTTAGCTTCAAGGATGGACTTAAATCCGTTCTTGAATGAACCAGCTCCCTAAATAACTCATAAAAATGGTCCCAATCTTTGGAATTTCCAGAGAAATTGGGGACCTCAATTTTTGGTAGGCTAGGTAGTTCGTCCATTCTAGGGCAACCACCTTCTACCTTGTTAGTTTTCTCTTGGATTTTATTATCCATTAGCTCGATGTGTATTTCAACATCCTCTTTGAGCTCTATAATTTTGCTCATATATTTATTATTGAGCCCTTCAATATTTAGTAAATCGGACACTGTATCGATTTTACTAAGAAACATTCTTAATTTTTTAATTCTTATAGGAAAGGTTTCATTTTTCCTTTCCTGAATCTCCACATAAGTTATCTCGAGGTAATCCTCGAGGTTCTTTATAGCCCCCTCAAGCCTCAAAAAAAGCTCATCCTGGCCAATATATTTTTTAATTTTGTTGCTGGCGGACCTAATATTTGATAGCATGCTTTCGAAGTGATTTTTTAAGAAATAGTCATGCTCTACAGGACCGAGTTGAACCAAATGATTATAGTTCGTAAAGGCTTTTAGCTCCAAATTTTTTAATGCCTTCCTATCCTCTTCTGAATATGAATTTTTTGCGAGAAGCGCATCTATTTGCCGGGTGAGGCGCACCTGGTCTTCGATAATTGGAATTTTATCCTTAGTCGACATTATATGTTATTTTAAATTAAATTAAGTTCTAAAACACAATTTAAAAAATAAAAACGAAACTTGCGAGGACTATTTTCTAATTATTGCTGCTGATGTTGTGTTGCCGTTGCCGCTGCTGCTCCTGATGTTGTTGCTGTTGCCGCTGCTGCTCGTGATATTGTTGCTGTTGCCGCTGCTGCTCCTGATGGGTTGCCTTTCTCGATGTCGCAGTTACTATTGTTGTGTTACTATTGTTTTTGTATGTTTTTTTGTGGACGTTTTTTAGTTTGATTTTTGTGGATGTTTTTTTTTTTAACTTTTTAACTTTAACGGTTGTTGGTGTTGGTTTGTTTATTTTTGGTGTATGTTTGTTGTTATTATTTTGGCGGATGTTGCTTGGGAGTTTTATTTTATTTTTTCCACACTCACTGTGTACAAAGTTTATACACTTTATATAAACAATTTTTTTTTTTGTAACTTTTAATTTCTCCGATGTAGGGCCTCGGATACGCCAACACAAATATATATAATTTTTATATAATTTTTTATTCCGAAGTTGTTCCGGGATATACACACACTTTTCGAAAAAAATTTTTGGCATTTATATTATTTTATACCCTGTGTTCCTTACCTCTTGGGGGGAAACAACAGGGGACTACGGTTTTTAAAGATTGAATCTATATATCTTTTGATCCGTTGAAGCCAGATCCAATATATATGTATATATATGATCTACACATCAATACCTTTCAGATGGCGGATGTTAATGTTCTTGAAATTAAATAATCAATCTTTATTTTCAATTTTTAAAATAAAAATTATCGAATAATTTTTATTTTCTAATTTATATAATAAAAATTGAAAATAAAAGTTATTGCGTAATTTTTATATACAAATTGATACTTAATAATTATTACTACATTTTTATTATTAAAAATAATTTTAATTATTAAAAATCAGTTTTTTTCGTAAAAATTGAGAAATAACTTTTATTTTGTAATTTTTGCTTTTTTAGTTATAACCGTTACAGTCCCTGCTTTTAACAGATTACAAAGTGCGACAAAAAAAAAGAAAAATTGAAGGAACTTTTGAAGAGACCTAGTATGAATTAGGTCGAGTATAGTATAAAACCGTGTTTGAAATTTTTCTAACACCCTCAAAATCTTGATTTATTTCGAAAAAACGTTTTTTCAGAACTTTTTTGCTCCTAAAAATTCCTAAGCGCGTAATTTTAAACCGATTTTAAAATTTTAGACGTTTTTTAATAGTTAAATGTTGTAGCTTTTGAAAAAAAATAAATCTTTACTTTATTTTAACAAAAAGAATACAATTTTTACGCAAGAAACTGACATTTTTGAATTTTTGTCGTGTTTTTCAAACTTTGACGCCATTTTTTCGGTACAATTTCTAAAAAATGATTTTTGATACATATCATTATTGTCTCGTTAATTCTGAATAAAACGAGACCAATTTCATAAAAAAATTATGAAAAATGTTGAAGCTATAACGCTTTTCCCAAAACAAGTCAGTCCAATTTTGCTAGCGTTCCGAAGTAATATTGTGCCCTTCCATTTCGCTTATTCCTTTCTTTTACACTTTTACTCCGGAGCGCTAGCAAGATTGGACTGACTTGTTTTGGGAAAAGCGTTATAACTTCAACAATTTCTACTAGGTCTCTTCAAAAGTTCCAAATCACTGTCGCACTGTGTTATTTATGTATGCATATGTGTATTTTTGTTTTTGTATTAAATTTATAAATTTTATTTCTTTAGTATTAGAAAATTATTATAAATATAATTGTTCGATAATAAAGTGGACTGTAAAATATCTTTGTTTTCTTTGCCTATTTTTAATAACATTGGTCACTTAATTATACTAAATACAAAACTATTAAAATATATTTATCCATGTTTATATATTTTAAACACTTGGCATTGGAGTTTGTATTTAGGCGTCGCTTTACCACCGCTAATATATTGGAGTTGACATCCCCCAATATTGACATAGATAGCTTCCGAAACTGAAAACTTCCGAATTTTTTAACTGATGTTATTTACACAGTTAATCACTCACTCCTGCTGAGTAAGCTGAACTTTCTGGGATTTCGTACAGACCTTCTTCTGTGGAAATTCAGCTACTTAGATGGAAAAACAAAAGGGGTCTTTTTAAAAATGTACAATCCAGCTTGGTCCGTGCGGCTACGTCATCTGGGGTCCCTCAAGGAAGTTATCTTGGCCCGTTACTGTTTACTCTTTTTATTAACGACTTTCCCCTTGCTTTAATGAACTTTGTAGTTCTTATGTCTTCAATACAAATCCATCTTCTTCCAATGCAATCTTCAGTCCGATCTTTAAAACTTTGAAAACTGCTGTTTAGCAAATGTTTAATACTTAATGTCTTTTTATCGTTCCTGCCCTTTGCAGGCTACGCATTCATTCTTATGGGATTGACTTCGAGAAATTAACTCAGGTTAACTCAGGACGCCGAGATCGTCCTATTATACTATAAACTTAAATTTCCACAATGGTTAATAAGGCTAAAGAAGTCCTTCGTTTCATTAAAAGGGGATCAAAAGAATTTATCGACCCCTACATTACTAAAAGATTATTTATTTTTTTGGTTACCTTTTCAACTTAGCGTTACTCTTAACTGGGATGCAATTCTTCTACCTCCATCTTATAATTACATAATTATACATTTTAATCATACACATAATTAAAATTAACGAACGACTTGAAACTTTAGTTCTTTATTCCTTAGCCATTATAGTAAAATAGCCATTATAGTAGCCATACAAAAAATCCCCACCTGACAGAACTATTATCCTCAATCCAATCAACATTTCCCACTACCTAAATAAACTAACAGATAGTCCTTTTTTCAGTCAAAAATGGAACAAACCAAAATTCTTGGACATACTAGAATTCTACTTGATAAACAATTCACTCAAACCTAATCTTACTAATGTAAATATTGCATTATAAATCAATAACGCTTATATTTTTGAAATTCGTATGCACTTGCAGAGGGTATTTAAATTTTGAACAAAAGTGATTGACCGGAAACGCTATACTTTTTTTTTTAAGTTATGAGATTCTATGGGTTCCATTTTGGGATAAATAACCTAAAAAATTTTGTAAGGACTGTATCCTGCCGACTATACCTGCCATATAACTAAACGATCGAAAATAACATAATTTTGGTGTTTGGAAATTCGTACAGCTGTTGTACGAATGGTTTTGTCTACCAAACTTTATAGGGATAATACAAACCAATTTTTATTCTTAAACTAAAAGCTTCAGACTTTTTCTTTAACCTTTTTTTATACAATTTTTTTAATTTTAATTTTTTTAACCAAATGAGGAAAACCATAGGACGCACTAGTGCGTTGTCATAAATAACTTATGAATTTTGAATAGGAAGAAACACACATAAGTTTTCTTGTTCAATAGTATCGTCAATTTCATAATTTTTTTCTTAACCAATGATAATATGTACTCACGTGACAAAATATTATCGCCTGTCCAATGCTTATACACCCATAAATATTTTGAATTGCGTTGTATTTTCCATCTTCATTTTGGCATTTAACATAATATTGTTTTATGTTATCAAGCGATTCTTCCTCACGCATTAATCTAAAGGAAATACATAAGAGATATCAAAAATGAGAGAACGCCTATAGCCGAGTCTCCCGACTATATTATACCCTGTACTCATCTCTTACACCCCACATAAACTAACTTTTCAAAAACAACAACCACCAATTTTTAGTGGATGTTTTTATGCTTGTGGAAATAATAACTGGAGGAACTCAATAGGAAAGCAGCATAAAAAGTCGGTAACTCCTCTTACAATTTTAATTTCTAAAGGTACCATTACAGACTGTGCCAGATGACTTGGCATACTTTAAGAATATGCCACTCGAAATATTTAAGCGTCGATATTAATAATAATATTTTTAAGAGTAAGAGGGGATATTTCTATACAGTGATGGAAAAAATAATAGAAACGAATTTTCCCTTTGGGTTAAAATACGTATTTTTTATAGGAAACGTCGTATTGAGTGAAAATTTTTCTGTTTCTTTAATATATATAAATCTATCTTGCATACCAGAAAACACAAATCCATTTAGCTCTATTTATTTAGCTAAAAAATAAAACTAAAGTTTAATTTTATGTTTTTGACCCGGAAATAAAAATAGAAACGAAATGACTAATCCTTCTCTAAATTAACTAGTTTAGAAAAATGTACCATAAAATGTATTCAGCTTTAATATTTTGTGCCGTTACCATAGTTTTTCAAAACTGCAGCTCACCTACGAGGCATAGACTCCACCAGATTGGAGCATATTGCTCGCTAAATGGAGTACCTTTCTTTCTGGACTTTCTCCCACATTTGCTCCTTATTTTGGTTGAAACCCATTTAAACGTTTTTATAGATTGCCCCACAAATGCTCAATAGGGTTTAAATCGGGTGACTGAGCGGACCAATCCAAAACGTCGACTTTATTGCCCTGGAACCACTTTATCGCAAGCTTGGATGTGGGTTTGGGATTTTCCTCTTCGGCATATGGTAACATAACGTCCTTCAATATGTTTACATAGTCTGTGTTATACCTATTGCCTTGTACCCGATAAAGTGAACCAACACCTGAAGCAGAGAAACATCCTCATAGCATTATATTGCCGCCTCCTTGTTTGATTGTCTTTTTTGTGTATTTGGGATCGAATGCTGTGATGTTTGGGCATCTAACATGGGATCTACCATCAGATCCAACAAATCAATCTTTTTCTCATCGGACCAAAGGACGTTTTTCCAGTTCTGGCGGGTCTCTTGGTTTTTGGCAAAGCAGAGTTGCCTTTCGATATGTCTTTTGCTCATAAAAGGAACTCTCCTTGCTGAATGCGCATTCAAACCACGCTCAATCAGCAGTCTTTTGCAAATGGAATGACTCGTTAAGGATGCGTTCATATAGTTTTTAAGATCCTTCGAAGAAAGGAAAGGCTCCTATTTCAGTCTTTTGCAAATGGTATGACTCGTTAAGGATGCGTTCATATAGTTTTTAAGATCATTCGAAGAAAGGAAAGGCTCCTATTTCGACTTTCTAATAAGGGTCGTGTCAAATTTTGTGGAAGTTGCTCTCTTTCTGCCACGTTTTTCCTGTTTATCTGTATAGTAGATAGCAGAAAACAGCATTTTTTTTTAGCATTCCAATAGTTTGACAATTAGTCCCATGGATTGGACTTCTGCTTTTAATGTGAGAATAAGATTCCTCTCTACTGCGGTGCAATGTGCTCCACGACCCATTTTGAAGCTTTTAACAAAATTAAATGAAAAATTGTACAAAAAATTGCTATAATAACACTCTTTGTAATAAAAATATTCAAAACAATACCTTTTATTTTAATTTAAACGAACAATAACCACAGATTTTTACAAAATACGAACGCGTTTCTATTATTTTTTCCAACTCAAACACGAGGTCTTCTGACGAATTTCCATGAAAAACAAAAATTGCGGACGAAAAGCGTTCAAAAAGAAGATCGTGACCAAGTATCGTTATCCACGTTACTAACTCAGTGGATTTCATAAATATTTCTAAAGCCTAAACTTAAAAATAAAGCCTTTAAGTGAAATAGAAAGATTCGTTTCTATTTCAGTGAAACGAAACGTTTAAGTGAAAAAGAAAGATAAAACAGCGGGGGGCAAAACTCACACATGTTTAAAATTTGAGTGTATGCGTAGCAGAGAAAAATAATGAGAGCAGAGCATTCACTGAGCGAAAAAAAAGTAGTGTTTTATTTCATTTTTGGTTAATTCAAAAGTTGGAATGGTCACTAAAATATTATATTATTTATTGATACTATATGATACCCGGTACTTATCTCTTCAACTTACATACATTTTTAAAACTAACACTTAAAAAAATCTACTAGAAAAGCAGATTAATTCTATATTAAAAACAAGTCGTTAACTCCGAAACGGTCCCAGACTGTAAATTATCTCTTCACGAGATGGCCCATCAGTATGATATTAGCCTCATCTACACACATACATAGGTGACAGATGGTCACAGGGACATCAGGGAATGAATTCATTCCACAATGACGACTATTTCCGCAGCTGTAGGGACGAAGGAGAAAGAAACCGTTGAGCATCTTCTGGGATGCTCGTATTTCTTCTGGGTTGGTATTTTCACCACTCACTGGAGTCACTGAGACTCGTATATCTAGGTAATAAATTCCGAACCGACATCCCGGAGGAGTGAGAAATATATCCAAATAGATACAAAAATGCAGTCAAGCCTCAGGGTGAGAGATGAGCTAGACCTATAGTAATTTAAGGAGAGAAAGGAAGATACATATCACAGTAAATAGAACACAGTCCAATAGAATTCATAGCGATTTGAAGGTGTTTCCTTACAAAATTCAAATGGCACATATGATTAACCCAGCTTTTTATCCAAGACGCCTCAATTTTGCCAAATGGGCCAACGAAATGTCTGAAAACAAAAGTGGTGATTTTGACTGGCCCCCAACATCACCAGATTTGACGGCACCAGAATTTTATTTGTGGGGTTATTTGAAATCCAAGGTATACGCTAATAAGCCAAAAACCTCAAGTCAACTAAAAGACAACATTAGACGTGAAATAGCCGCCATATCGTCTAAAACATTGACCAAAGTCATGGAAAATGCTGAAAAAATAATGCATTCAGCTGTCAGAGCTAAAGGTGCCCATTTACGTGATATCATTTTTAATAATAATTTGTAAAAAATCTCCTTGGAGCAAAATAAATGATTTTTGGAATAAAAAAAAAAATTGTCCACTTTTTTTGTTTTTGTTTTAAGAATCAAGTGGGCCCACCCTGTATTTTTTAAAATGTGTTATATATCTACTAGACATCTGCATTAGTATCAAAAAACACACATTCAAATGTACAATGCTCAAAATGAGTTAAGTGAATTTGAAAGCAAAGCCAACCCGGTGTGAGAGATTTGATTCTCTTACGCTTACTCATTTGCACAAATAATAGGGAAAAGGAAACGAATTGAAAGAATTGAGAATGTTGAAAACAGAGACGTTTCATTTGAATGATTCGAGTTGCAAATGTAAATAGAAGGAAATAAAAACAAATTAAATGCAGTAATTTTTCTTCGAGTCCGAAAAGGTTTTATGTTTATGGTTTTTTAATTAATCTATTTCTAAATTTCCAATAATTTACAACTCATTTAAACTTGAATGCTAAAACATTATTTTGTCAATATTTTCCGAATTATTAGCTATTTGACAACGCTTTTCTGTAATTAAATTTCTTTCGTTTGAAAATGCAAAAAATATTTTGCAGCTTTTTTTGTGCATTAGCGGAAAAATTACTTATTCATATGCCACCAAGATATAGCATTAAAATCAATAGTGTATGCAACATTAATATTAAAGTATCCAGAAATTTCTTGATCCACCTTGTCTTGTATTGTCTTGGATATCAGTTACGATAACGGGTGTCTAATTCAAGTTCACATCAAAAACCCTTCAAAATGGCCTCTATTTTTGTATTTATATTGATACCTTTATAAAGAAAAAATTATAATTCTACTTGTAACATAAAGTAGTAGGCTTTTTTTTTTATTGGTTGTCCAAATTTTCGTCTTTGTTCTGGAGTTGTCAGAAAAATAATGTATCGAATTCCTATGAAACAACTCGAATGATTGAAGTATACAAGGCATTGTCAAAACTTTACTTTCACTTTTAGTTTCGTTCATTCTCTTTCGTTTAGTTGGACCTGTCAAATTATGAGAGGAACACAAACTTGTACTCATTCAATGACATTTCAATTCTAGCATTCCTTTCAATCCATTCTATTCTATTCGAAAGTATTCCTTGAGACGAATGTTATGAATGTAATCATGCATATGTCTAATATCTACCTTTATTGGATATTTTTGTTCCAAAATTGATATCAGGTATTTTGAGCGTGGTATTCATGATCATCCCAGGCATTTATACTTTTCAAAAGAAATTTTTCTTATATTAGTTGTTTTTACTGTATTTACCGTGTCATCTTTGAACAATAGAAGAAAGCTTACTTCGGGAGGAGCCGTTGGATATAGTATAGTTGGACGACCAAAATTGGTATTTTCACCAAATTTCCGATCGTTCCGATATGGCCGCTATAAGATATATTATATATTAAGATTTAGTAGTTCGGATTAACTGACCCAAAATAGAACGAAGTTCCAACTTTCTGTCTTTAAAAAACACGAAAGTTGGGTCATTTCTGATCGTTCAGTTATATGGCAGTTATAGGATAATTGGTACGTCATATTATTTTGGCAAAAATAGCATTTATACAAAATACGAACTACCATATCATTAGCTCATATCAACTCAGAAAGTGATCCTCATCAAGAATATATATACTTTATAGGGTCGAAAATGTCTCCTTCAATGCGTAGCACACTTTTTTATAAAAGAAATATGAAGGAAAAAAGGAATATAAGCACTAACCATACAGCATATAGACACCCCATTTTATACAACGAAAATGGACGCAAATTTCTTGCGACAGTCCCAAGCAGGCTCCAGAGCGAGCTCTTACTCTCTTTCTTACGCTCATCGTTCGTTCATCTTTCG